AATTAAAAATTGAAATACCATCTGATGCAGAAATCTCATTTCTAGGTATATATCCAAAGAAATTAAAAGCAAGATCTCAAAGAGATACTTATAATCCCATGTTCATAGCAGCACTATTCACAATATCCAAAAGGTGGAACCACTCTAATGTCTAGCCACAGATGAACAGATGAACAAAATGTGGTATATACATACAATGGAAAGGAAAGAGATCTTGTCACGGTTTCAATGCTCTACGCTGAATGTGTGTATCCTGCCAAAATTTGTATGTGAAATACTGATGCCCAAAGGACTTTGGAAGGTGATTAGGTCATGAAAGCTTAGAGACTGATGCCCTCATAAAAAAGGTCTGAGACCTCCCTTGTCCCTCCTACCATGTGAGAACACTGAAGGAAGTTGGTAGTCTGCAGCCCAGAGAGGGCCTTCACTGGAACCCAACCATGCTGTCACCCTGTTCTTGGACCCTGTTCTTGTTCACAGCCTTCAGAACTGTGCAAAATAAGTTTCTAATGTTTTTAAGTCACCCAGTCTGCAGGATTGTGCTATACCAGCCTTAAGGACTAAGACGTACAACATGGGTGAATGCTGAGGCCATTGTGCTAAGTGAAACGAAGCAGTCACAAAAGGACAAATACTGTGTGAACTATGTTTATGAGGTGTCTAAAAGTAGTGAAATTCATGGATATAGAAAGTAGGATAGTTGCCAGGGACTGGGGCAGGGGTGTGAAACAAATAGGAGTTGTTTAATGAGCATAAAATTTCAGTCCTGCCAAACTGAAGAGCTCTGGAGATCTGTTGTATAACAATGTGAGTATATTTAACATGAGTGAACTATACACCTAAAGGTGGTTAAGACAGTGAATTTCATTATATATGTCTTTACCACAATAAAAATATTTTAGTAAAAAATAAAACAAAAAATATATGAAGAACTCCAAATACTTTTTTTTTTTGCTTAATAGGGAGGAAATAAAAAGAAATATAAGGGGAGTAAATATTTCCCTTTTGTATAGATGTAAGGATTGTCATTTCTAGCGCATTCCACACTTGCCAGTTCCACTGCAAAGTCTGTATCTTGAACATGATGACATGAACTTTCAAAAACCCCAATCCGACACAAACCATCAGAAAAATCCTGGGTGTTTGGACATGTACCGTTAGGTCCCCGTTTCCTAAGAAGACTCCTGACCACGGAAGGACACTCCAGGGAGACAGCATGAACAATCAGTCCACGCCTGTTTCAGTTCTGGATGACAAACAACAAAAAATGGACACTGACAACTTGGAAGGGATTTATGGAGATAATGTGGGGAGTTCACATAATCTACATTAAAACCTAAAGAATTCAGGAAAAAAAGGAGGAATTTCCACATCTGGGTAGCCAAGAATTCACCCAGGCCACACCTCACGATCAGCCTCATGAAGACATCAGCCATGGCTTTGTAAGGTCCCATCACCTCAAACGCTCAGTACTAACTCTCAACTAATCATGTATTTCTGCATTATCCCCTCCAAGTTCAAATTCCAGGGTAGGAAGAACTGATGAGGCATGGCAGGGAATTTCCATTCAATAGGGACTTCCCAATGGGCAGAACAAACAAAAGGCTGAAAAGAGAAGGCAATTTGTCCATAGTGGTTACCATGTAGCTTGGCAGCTGTCTATGTCTCAGCTGCCCAGCTCTTCCATTTAAGATAAAGCAGCAAGTTTCTAGTCAATTCCAGGAAGTAGGAGAATCTCCATGCTTACTGGGTCCTGTCACTTTCAATGTGGCAGTTTTCCACAGGTTATCTAATCAAGGAACAACACTCATAACTATCACTGCAAGGTGCACAGGAGTAGCTGGGATGTATGAGGCCATTGGTTATTAGTTGTCCTCTAATGCTTTTGCTTTTGTCAGTCAAATTTGCTTGACCTTTATGAGAGCAGACACTGTCTTCAAAACTCCTGCCAGAACAGACTGTACGTCAGAGTGCGAATACCAGCACTGCTGTGACCATCACCACGGGACTGACCCTGCTCAGGCAGGGAAGATGCAGTGTATCTGGCACAGTTTAATCAATCTGTAGCCTCTAGCCAGATACCAGTCTATCTGAAAACGTTTCCACTGACTCTAAAAGGCAAAGATACATAGAGATTCAGAAAGTCATAAACACGTAAAAATAAGATTTATTTCATAATGTTACATTCAAATACATTCCACTATTAAAAGGGCTCTGAAGAGTTCTGCTTTTATGATAATAGAGCAAAGATGTCTCTACCTCCTTTCTCATGCAAAGTCAACAAAACAACAAAGATTTAAAAACGCCAGAATCTCCATAAAAAAAAAAGAAAAAGCTAGGAGACATCTACAGCCCTGAATTACAGCATATGCAGGAAGTGGGTAGAGAAGTGGGGAGGGTTGTTGGCGTGCAGGGCGGCCAGACCTGTGTCTGCAGAGGCAGCACCAACAAGGCACAAGCTGCAGGGCCCCCAGGAAGCATCAGGAACTGGAGGCACCTGCTGCTGTGAAGGTGGGGTGAGTGGGCAATCGGAAAACGAGGAGACTGTCTGAAAAATAGTCAGACTCCCAGGGTGCCTCCCAAAGGAGCCAGAAGGCACACAGTTAATGGACATGGTGTCTGGGAGGCAACAAGCTTATAAACATCAGCAATGAAGACAGTGGGGTGAACACAGGGATAGGAAGTGACAATACGTGTATAACAGACAGTGAGACCCTCCGGTTCTCTCACTCTACACAGCCAGAACACCATCAGCAAGGCTGATATTTCCAAGGCAAGAAACTAAAAGGCCATTCTCTGAAAAAATTAACTATCATCTTAGGAAAGACTTACAGTTACTACTATAACTATATGCAGTGGGAATGTTGACAGGTTACCCAATCATCCTACAGGAAAGTGCAGTGGAAAACACAGGTTCTAATGAGTATTCTTGTGCCTCACCTATTAAACAAAAGACAAAGATCACCCAACAGCTGAGGAAAGCCCAACACACTCCAGAGAGAAGTCCAATACAAAGTGAAAAATAAGGAAGTTAGGGAAACAGGGGCAATACTGGCAAGAGAAGAAAACTTCAAAAAAAAACCGTATTAGTATGTCCATTGAGGTAAAAGCTTGAATTCATCTCACAAAAGCATAACACTATTAAAAAGAAAAGACCAGAAAGTAAGAAAGGGGGAAAATATGACATGAAAAACTGAAATGAAAGGATTCCAAGGTTAAGTTAAAGAAATCTCCCAGAAAGTAGAACAAAAAGTTAGAGAAGTGGACAATCCAAAAACCAAACCAAACCAAACTAAACAAGTGAACAACAAGAATATTAGAAAATCAGTGTAACAAGTCCAATATCTAAGTTAATAGGCACTCCAGAGAAAAGGTACAAGGAATAAAAGTCTCAAAGAAAATCATATAAGAGCATTTTTAATGACTCCATTTATAACTCTTAGATTATAAGAAGGTGCTGAGCACTCACTCTAATGAATGAAAAATAGCTTATATTGTAGTAATGCACCAAAAAAAGTCTAGAAATCACATATGTGTAAGAGATCTTAAAACCATGCAGAGAAGAGACTGACAAAAACGATAGATCTAGGAAAATGGCATTAGACTTCACAATTACAGAACTTGAAGCTGAAGTTGAAGGATACTGAAGCAAAACCATCAAAATTCTTCCCAAGAATTCTATACCCAGCTAAACTACCACTCAACTACCAAACCAGAATAATGGCACTTTCATACCTGCAAAGTCTGAAAAACAGAAAACTGTAAGGTTTTTCTTTAAGCCTTCTAGCATTATTTGACTAACAGCTTCACTTTAATTTCATACTGTACAGTTTCCACATTTTCAACTATTACCTCAGTTTGGGCTGTAGGCACAAGAGTACATTTTCTAGACTCAATAACCACGAATGAAATCTACCACATTCTTACCCTAATATTATATGAGATGATGATATTTAAAAATCCCGCAGAAAAATAACCTTCATTCTTATATAGTAATTTACTTTAAAAGCACTTTAGGAACCATCATAAATATTCTGCGAAGATAGATATTATCGTCCCTTGCTTAAAGATGAGAAAATTGAGACTTATATTTCCAAAAGCGCCACAGCCAGCATGAAGTAATACTAGAACTCAAATCTGTATCTAGTGCTATGGTAAGCATTCTCCTCTTGACATGTGTGTAAAAACTCTGTCCACAATCCTTATGTTTTGGTATCTCATTCTCCCTTAGGCACACTGGAGACTGTTTCCTTTCAAACCACCGAAAACACTCTGCCATCCCTTGTCTCCACCCTAACAACAACCCCGCTGTTCACTCCCCTCAAGCCCCCGGCCCTTCTCCAGGCCGTCCTTAAAGCACTGTAATGAGTCCCGAAATAAACACTCTGACTTACATAGTCAGAGCTCTGGCAAAAGGCAAATTCTAACTACTCATTAGAAAGAAACTTCTTGATTTTTTTCTTAACCTAAGGGTGAGAAGGAAAATAAATAATTAGACAAAAAGGACTTTATCTTCTCATACGCTACATGCGGCAGGAAGGCACCTAATATTATTTTAGATGTTCGTAATGATCCATCTGGCTCATTATAATAAAAAATAAAATATTGTTTATAATCAGCTATTAGCTTTTTATACCATAAAGGAATAAAGGTTCAAAAATAATTACCCCTTCCAGTCTGTCTCTGAAAATGTATTAATCAAAAAATATGCTTTGAAACTTAGAACACGATAAAAACATACACACAGCTTCCCTTCCCACCCCATTTTCCAAAGCCAACAGGGAGATAGGAAAACTCCCAGACATACACAAACTCAGACTCACACACTGTGATTTCGTACTCATACCCCTTCCTCCTTAACTTCACCTTCTGTTAGACTTGTGGACCTGAATAGGCACTGGATGAGGTTACAGTCCTCACTGAAAAACCCACTGTACTGTCGGTAACTCTTTGATGTGAGTAATGCAAAGAAATAGTGTAGTAACAGTTTAGCAACTTACTCCACAGTATCGGTCACCATTAAATATCTGAGGTGGCAGAGGGTTGCCCTGAGCAGGCTTCTTTTCTGGGGGGATATTTTTGTACATCCATTGCCTCTGTTCTTCTGACATTGTGATATCCACCTCCTCAAACTCTATCTTGTTGGCTTCCAGAAATCTAACCACATCTTGCTGCTTCTTCTTTATCTAAAGAGAGAAAACAAACAGTGAAATGCTCATCTGAAACAATATGTAGAAATTCCCAAACTAAACTAGATTTGATTTCTCCTTGTCAGAGGTCAATGATACAGAAAAGAGGTGATTTATGTAGGTGCTATGCACTGTCCACTCCGTGGGCATACATCAGAGGTCTAAGCGAGTCCTGAAACCATGACTTCGTCACCTGGACTCCCCAGAACCCTGGGGCACAAGTCGGGTTGCCCAGAAGAACAGACTAGGTATGAGATGAGAAATTCACATAGTTCTGAGAGGGCCACAACCCCGCCTCCCTCACACCCGAAGGAGGTAACATTTACAGTCATGAAAGCTCTCTCTGGTCAAAACCATTTAAAGACTATGCATGGCCTATCTGAGATGCCGACATTTCACTGATTCCTGGGACCAGCAATATTTTTATCCCTTTCAGAAACCTCCTTCAGATATTCCACACTGTAGCCACTGGCGTGAAAACATCCTTTCAACAATCACAAGAGAAAAACGTTCTCCACTTCTAAGGTGAGAGTCGGTAACAAGGGCCACTTCATTCTGAAATCTATTTGTTAACCCTTCTCATTCCTCTGATCTTTCATGTTTCCTTCCTCAGTCACTAGGGGTCAGGTATGTTCTTTAAGAGCTGAAAACATATTTCTTGTTCTCAAAATACTACCAATCTTCTTGATTTAAGTGTTTATATTAATAACTAATTTAGATGGCGGTGACAATATTCACTGCTTTAAACAGTGTGTAAAACGTGAGAAAACAAGCTTGCTTTTCCTAAATGACTCTGGACAATCTGCCCAAGGAACAAACTTAAGTGATGAAGTAAATCTTACAATGGCCAAAGAATCATTTTCAGAGGTCAAACAGCCTGAAAGACCTCTTGTCACAGGAAATAAAATGTTTCAAAAACAAACTGTCACACAGTAATTGCCTCTACTAACCCTTCCCCCCCAAACCTCAATGACAGATGTCTCTCTTGAGTTGGAAATCTGCCATATGCCATGAGAAAAGAGATTGCGATCACTGGGTTGAGGTCTATGAATGAATAACAAGAGCATAGTTGGTAAGAAATAAAAAGCTAACAAAATAGGACATCTTCAAGCTCAATGATATTGTTAAATGAGACAATTACTGTGTAAGTCCAAACTGATATTGGTATTATCTTAATTTCTTGAATTAAGCCACTTTTAATTTCTGAAAAAGTTTTTTTTTCCTGATATACGATTTCAGAAATGTAGTTATATTATTTCAAAACTTCAGCTTGCAAAAAAGTATCATATATCCTACTTAATCCCCCCTACAGAATAGATTTTATTATTCCTGAGGTCAAAGCAGTCACCTATTTTGATCAAGATCCCAGTGTGTTCTTGCCAAGATATGTTGGGAACCTTACACCTGGCTTCTAGCTAAAAACTTTGCATTGATTACAGGAACCTGTGCACTCCACAAGCCAATCGGCTACAGGTACATGAGGTGTGCATGCGCTCCACAAGCCAATCAGCTACAGGCATATGAGGTGTCCACGAGTACCAGTTGCACCCAAGTAATCAATAAGCGGGCCCTTCTTTGTCTCAAGCTAGCCAATAGCAAGCAACCTAATCTCCTTCCTCTCCCTCCCCCCTATATATATACCCAGTTCGGAAAAATAAAGTTTGCAGCTTGATCAGAATCTTTTGTCTTGCTGCCATTCTTCGCGCCTCTTGTCCCCCCAACTCATTTGTTCTAGGTAGGTGGTCGAGCCCCAGTTGATTGCTCCGCGGGCCGGAGCAAAGATAATCATGTCATTCCCCTATTGAAAATCGTTCTTTAGTAACCCTCACTATTTTTGGAAGAACACATAAGGTCTGTCCAGAAAAAGTCCAGCCATTGTTAATATAACGAGAACAGTATGCATGATATCAATGTAACCTGGCAGCCAAGGAGAGTGGACTGGAATATGCATGAATGAACAATGACGACTTCAGAGTAACAGTCAGTGGGGGCAGTAGACACTGTTGAGTGAGCATGTGGACTGTGTGTGTGGTTGTCACATTCCAAATGACTGAGTACAGCAACAAATCTGCATCAAATTTTGCATTAAGCTTGAACATTCCTCATTAGAAACTATTCAGATGATTCAGAAGGCTTTCGAGGATGATGCAATGAGCACAGTGCAAATAAAAGTGTAGCACAAATGCTTCAACAGATGATCAAGATGATCTGTTGTGAGTGATCCATGTTCTGGAAGGACTGCAACAAGCAGAACACCTGAGAGTGTTGAACATGTACAGGCTGCAATCAACGAAGACCTATGCCTGAGAGTATGAGAACTAGAAGCTGATCTAGGGATTCCAAAAACACCGCACCCAATATTTTCATGCAGGATCTTGGCATGAAGTGTGGGGTGGCAAAATTCTATCTGTGGTTTCTGCTACCAGAACAGAAGGAACATCATACTGCAGTTGCTAATGATTTGATTCAAACTGCTAACAATGAACCAGACTTCTTCAAGGTCATAACCAGAGATGGATCATGGGTCTACAGCAATCATGGGTCTCCAGAAACAAAGGCCCAGTTGTCCCAATGGAAGATGCCTGGTTCTCCACAATCAAAGAAAGTGCAGCAAAGTTGCAGCAAGATCAAGACCATGTCAACTGAGTTTTTTGATTGGGAAGGTGTTGTCCATCATGAGTATGCCCCTCCAGGCTAAACAATGAATAAGTAGTGCTACCTCAATGTCCTTCATGGGTTGACAGAAACAATACTATGAAAAAGGCTGCAGCTATGGGCAGCTGGTGACTGGCAGCTTTATCATGACAATGCTCCCATTCACGTATCACATCTCGTGTAGAGTTTTTCAGCAAAATATCAAATCACTCAGCACCCCTACAGCTCAGATTTGGTGCCCCGTGACTTCTGGCTTTTCCCTAAACTAAAACCACCTTTGAAGGAAGAGATATCAGATCTTAAATGAGATTCAGGAAAATATGATGGGACAGCTGATGGCAATTCCAACTAAGGATTCTGCAGAGTGTTCTGAACAGTGGAAGAAATGCCTGGAGAACTACGTGAGGTCCCAAGGTGCCCACTTTGAAGGGAAATGATGCAGCATTGTCCTATGTGCAATGTTCTTGTAGCTTGTATCTTCTCCAGTAAGTGTCTCTATTTTTCCTACTACAAGGCTGGTTTCTGAACAGACCTCTACACTTTTCTGAGCATAGAGCACAATGTCATTTGACTATAAAAGGAACGTATTTACATATTTAAAAGTGTAGAAATTGTAAAGCAAACAAAAAGTTACCTACAAGCCTATTACCCACACAACCACTGTCAAAATGTAACTAGAGGCAAGAGCCTGGATTTGCTGTTCCTGTATGGAAATCTACATATCCAGCACATTTCAAATGTTCATGAGAGTGATAAACAATGAAGCTGTTATTCAGTCAAATCTTGGCTTTCCATATGATGTATATACATATAACACCTACCTCTACCCCACAATGTGAGTACCTAAAAACTCATACATTCTCAATACCAGGATACACCAAAGACACTCATACGGTGTCTTTACGTACCCACCTGCCTGCCCTATACACATAGACAGATCTCTCTCACACACATACAGCATTTATCGCTGGACTATAATCCCCTACACAGCTCAACTGGTCTTTTCCTTCACAGGATCACACTGGGTAAAAAAATAGCTGCACCTTTTTCCTTTCACTGAGCAATAAATCATGAATACTGTCCTCTATCATTAAAGTTTTCAAGAGAATAAATTTTAGTATCTCCCTGGCAATTGCATCATGTAGATGTACAGTTAACTATCCCTCTATTGTTGGATACTTGGTATACTGGTAACTTTCACCACTAGAGATACTATCATGTAGTGAACATCTCTATTTATAAATCTCTTATTGTGTCTCACAATACTACTTTAGGGCAAAGCCCTACAAACGAAAGCCACATGAAAGGGCAGAGACATTTTTCAGGCTCCTGATGGATAAACTGCTTTTCAACTAGGCCACATTGGTCAAAAAGTGCAAACTTCCAGTTATAAAATAAATAAGTCCTGGGGATGCCGTGTACAGCATGGCGACTACAGTTCATAATACTGCATCGTATATTTGAAAGTTGCTAAAAAAGTAGATCTTCAGAAGTGTCATCAAACAAGAAATTTATAACATGATGGGGTGATGGAGGTTAACCAGACTTACTGTGATCATTTTGCAATATACACATATACTGAATCATTATGCTGTACACCTGAAACTAATGTTGTAGGTCAAATATACCCCAATAAAAAATACAAGACCACATCAATTTACATTCCCATTTAAATATCAGTTTTTAAAAGTATCCGCGTCTCAACACCTCTCCATGCTTACAGCCAATATATGAAAGTTGTACTGCAGAAGATTAAAGCTCAAATAATGGATGTTAACTAAACTTAACTATAGTCGTCATATCACATATATATATATATGTATATATATATATACATACATCAAGTCATTACACTGTATACCTTAAAGTTACACAATATTATGTCAATTATAGCTCAGTAAAACTAAAGAAAAAAAAAGAAACAGCTGTTCTAAAAAAATTCAAATGCAAAATTCCACACTGACAATGCTCAGGAAGCAAAAGACAGTTCCTCACTAACAATGGTGATGGCTGACAGTCGTGTGAGGAGTGAAATGTAAGTAACTGTACCTCCGCTTTTAAAGGGGAAAGTATGGGGAGGCATGACCAGGTAAAGACAAAAGGAGAAACTGTTTGTACTGTTAACAGTGCCATGAAAAGGTCTCCAAGATAAATATGTAAGTGAAAAAGAACAAAGAGCAGAACTGTGAGTAAAGTAGGCACATTTTTCTGAAAAGAAAAAAGGAGAAAAATAAAACCACTTGTATCTGCTTGTATTTACATTTAAAGAAAACTGTTGAAGATTATAGGGGTCGAGGGGAATGGAAACTGGGTAATGAGGACAAAGTGGGAGCAAGGGTTTT